CCACTGAGAGCAACCCCAAGTGATATGATGGTGTATATTCCCAGCAGTTTCTGCTTTGCTCTCCTGTCCACTGCTGATCCATGGCATGGCTCACCAGAGTCAGGCAGTTTGCACTGTGCTCAGCTCTTGGCCAAAGTCAGACCACGTGCTGTGGTATCTCAGATCCTTACGTTACAAAGATTTGAGGAACTGGGATTTAACTTTTTGCTTTTTTGTGTTTTTTTTTCTCTAACCCACCCACACTGAAATTTCAAGATGTTTTAGGTCTTGAAACTATGACTTGAAACTATGACTTGAAACTATGACTTGAAACTATGAAACTATGACTTGAAACTATGACTTGAAACTATGAGAGAAGCTATGACTGCTCTCTCAAGCCATGGCTCTTCCAGTCCTCTGCAGACACCAAAGCCTCAGAACATTGTGTTGAATAAACGCCTAATTTCCAGTTCATTTTAAGAAATCATTAATGTTATTTACAGTGTTTCTTCCTCCCTGACAGTACAACATGCTACATTTTATCCATTTTTAGTCTGTCTTCAATCTACATTGGATTATTTCCAACTTTATTTATTCCAAATTTATTTATTTATTTTTAAATATTTCTTTTCAACCTTTTTTCAAACACAAGCTCTCCACTCATAAAGAATAATTAAAAAATCTTTTGTCTGTGGCTTTTCTCCCCACTCCTTTAATAGAAACTGGTTATTGTGATTGTCTAAGCTCTGATGAGCCCATAGTATCGTTAGAATCAGCCTCCAAGCTATCTAGAGTTTTTCTGTAAGATTAATACATAATTTCTAGAGATAAGTTAATTGTATTTGCCTAGGAAGATAAAATCAGAGTATGTGAGTAGGTATTTCATGTTTTATTTGAAGCAGTTTGTATCGGTTCCTAAATTTCAGCTTTAATATTCCATTTGATGCTGTAGAACTCTTGATTAGTGTATTTTGTATTTGAAGCCTGTGTTACACTCCAAATTCATCAATCATTTGTTGCAACAGACTGCTCCTTTTTATCAGTTTGCTATATTATTAGATCGTAGATGCAATCACACTTAGCGCTGCTGTTGGTGTGTATTTGATCTGCCTTCCTCCCTCGTAGATCTGACAGCTTCATGGGCATTGACAAAAAGCAACACACACAGGTAAAATTAAATTTTGAACTGTTGGAAAATTTGCACTGGCAAGAATTGGCACTCCTGGCAGTGTCTGACATTCTCGTGCTGGTAAAAGTAAGAACTGCTTATCAATGATGTATTAGAGATTGGCACAAACCAACTGGTGTACACATTCACGTAAGAAATTCATTGGTAAAGTGATCCCTTGCCTCCTACTACGTGTATATCCTACATCTGGACCTTCTGTGGTAACTACTTTTTTTCAGACTCAAGGTCATAGAGCTAAGTGTACAGAGTCACTTGCAGCCATACAGTCAGTAGAGACAAAACTTGAATATGAGCTGTCCTGGTTGTTTTCCTAATCTTGTGAGTCAGCTGGCCCTCTCAAACCTAGAGCTTAGCTGCCAGACAGCAGGTTGGCAGTGGTGTGAGGGATCAAGAAGTTGGGCTCAGCTGAAGTGATGATATCATCTGCATGGTTTTGATATCTCTGTGCTATTTGGCATATGACTCTTACTGATTCTGTTAAACATAAGAGCTGGATTTCATACAAGTCAATCCTCTTTATGGCATTGCAACTTGGATGATGAGGAATGAAAAGTCTTCTATGGAACTAAAACTTCCATAAACAAATACCGCCAAACACAGACTAAACTGCTTTCATAGAAAGTGGAGTCTGAAATTCAAGACTTTGTCTGCTAAATGCTTAGTAATCCAATTGTTGGTTAAAAACCTCTTGGAAATTAAGACTCTGGCCAGATACATGAATAGGATGTATTTGTTATTTCCCACTTATCAGATTTAAAGAAATGCTAATTTATTAGGAGTATATGTAGTCAGAGTAATTCTGTTTTGCTTAAAGAATAGGTGACAGCTAACATCTATGTCTCATCCTTTCCTTATTAATGCCTAGATATGGAAATTCAGACAGACAGCTGGTTACTGTGGTTAGGGTACTGTACACAAAGAGATGTGAGGAAAATAAAAGAAAGATGTACCATGTTTTGAAGGGATGCCTGCATGGAGGGACACAGAGAACCTGTCAGGGCATGAGGCTATGGAGAATGAATGAGAAAGTGTGTGTGTGTGTGTGTGTGTGTGTGTGTGTGTGTGTGTGTGTGTGTGAGTGATCAAGAGAGAGAAAGTGTGTAGTAAATCCACAAGGATTAAAACAGTGAAAGGAACCATTTGCAATTAGGAAAAAAGGTTACTGGTGAGAAATGTTACACTCTGCTGTAGATTTCAGATATGCCACAGATTCAGAAAGGTCATTGCCAAGAGCAGCTTCCTCTGTTGCAGACACACGGTAAATGTGTGAAGTGGCCCTGAGGGCAAGGCTGATAAGACTTAGTACAAACTTGTTTGCTCAATAGGGTTTTTCTCTCTCTCTCTTTTTTTTTTTTTTGTTCTGTCCTGTAGTAAAGATGTTAGTCACGGACATTTGCAGGCAAAACTGTATTTTTAAAACAGAAAATATGAGGTCTTCGAAATGGGAATAAGACCCATGGAGGAGAGTTGTTTGAGGAAATGACTCTGTTGGCTGACACAGGGAAAAATCACACAATAAGAGTTGAAGCTGAGCATTTCTGTTTTCTCAGGGAAAGGTAATGACCAAGCTTTGAACTTCTTAAGCTTTATACTTAATCTTTCTGTTACACATTAGCAGGATCAGAGGGGAGCTGATCTTAAACAGCTACATTATCATCTTTAATAAATAAGACATACGGCAGAAGACAAAAGTGTTACAGCTTGATCACCATTTTAAAATTCCTTCAACACAAGGTTCACTGCACTAGTCTTAGTTTGTCTGGTGGGTCAAACAATATTCCTGTGATTTTGAGCACCAAATCTGCATTTCAAACATGAAAAACTGCACTTGTAATTGAAAACATAGGAGGATTTTCTAGGTGAATGAGAAACAGATGTTGTGACATGCTATGTCATATCCCTGTACCATCCAAAAGATTGATCCTTTGTACCCCATCGCAGTTTCGCTCTCAGTATGTACATTTACATTCTTTTCTTCAGATTTGTTTTTGGTTGTTTGTTTGGTTTTTTTAATCGGTAATACTGCTTCAAAGTCCTGAGATTGCCAGGTGGTCCTTTTATTTTTTTCTAGGGATTTCCTGTTATTCTTTTCCATGTGACCTAGTTACAATTATCTAAGGAAGAAAACTTACCTCACTGAAGGTCCCAGGGATTCAGCTGTGATCACATCACACCCTACCCCAACACCACTCTTCCCCCCTCCATCATGTTTTCAGCAAATAAAGTGTGTGGGTTTTCTGTTATGTGTTTTGGGTTATTTCCATTCAAGGAACTTAATGTGTCATACTGTACCTCAAGTCTTTAGAGAAGGTCAAATTACCTGATAGGTTGGAAGCTAATACTGGCTCAAAAAAAATGCTATTTTCATATCACTATAATAATTTATCTTTCCCATATGTCTAAGTGATTCTATCTAGTTTCTGACTAGCTGTTCTGTGGCTACAAAAGCTACTCCAGAAGTTTTCCAAGTAGTGGGCTAGTACATAGTTTGTTTCTTCCTGGGCTGTGCAGTTAATGTACATTTTTCTGTTTCATAGCAGCTCTGTCACCCTAGTAGAATCAGCTGAAATTTATTGCACATACTGAGTTACACAGCAGACCTCCTTGGTCTTGTTTTAAGCATTAACAGTTTTGCTTTATTAAAGTAACAGCGAAGGACCACTTTTACTGGGATAAGGATGCTTTCACAGGTATTTTGACCAGTGAATGCTGGGGATATGTCCAAAGCTCCTGGGAATCACATACCTAAACCCAAATTTGAGTTTGATACCTTACAGGCATGAAGGAAGCTTTGATTCCTTATTCTCTGAGTCACCATCTAGCCCTCAGGTTCTGAAATTTCCAGCTTCTTAAAATGTGTTCTGCATCTCCTCTATGTTAATTTTCAGAGAGTAAAGTGTTGTGGTTATTTAAACCAGAGCTAAATTAAAACCTCAAAGGGAAATTGCACGTAGGAGTGTAGTTCTTGTGTATATATCTCTCTGTGCAACACTTAACAATTTAGACAAGTATTTTAACAAACAATTCTCACACATTAGATAATATTCAACCATATATTCAGAGGCAAGTGCAATTCTGTCATGACTATTTTGAACAATGAATCCTTTTAAGCACTCACACATTAACAGCATTTTGCTTTTATTCAGTTTACACCATCTTATGGGAAATATGCTGTCATACTTAACAGAATCTGGTCTATTAATGTACATTTAATGAAAGTTTACTTCACACAGCAGTTTCTGAAGCTTTGAATTTTAGTTCACAATATTTCTTTTAAGTCTTTGAAATAATTTTATACTATTGGGGGAGGCCTTGACCTGCAGACTTGCTCTTGAAAGGAAGTACGGGAAAACCTTAGATGACGGTACAAACCTATTAGGGGGAATCAAATCTTAGATTGCTTTCTTCTAGAGGATTTTTGAAAGTAGTTTACAACAACATATTAGGCACTGTCTAGTTTTAAAAACATCCAAGAAAGGATTTTGCATAACCTTTTTAGAGGGGCAGCCTATAGACAAGATATAGAACTTCTAGAAACAGCAGTTGGAATTTTAGTTCCTTACAATCTGGAATATATATCACCTAGAGCAGAGCTTTGTTTTCTTATAAATTTACATCTGAAATGTAAGACTTCGATTAAAGGTATTAAACAAAAATATCCAATTTTCACTAAAAGGGACATTACAAGTTCTAATAGAGAAGGCACATGTGGATAGACAGGTGTGGAAGGATTAACAGCAAAATATCTTCCTATGACCCACAACTCTCACACACTTCACAAAAATCAGACCTAATATGGAGGAAAAATAGAGAAATACTTATGTGCACTTACAAAATACTGACAAGTCCTAGTCAGGTTACCATGTGGAGCCAGGATGTTTCATGGCATTATGAGGTGCCCAAGTTTGCTCTTGCTGTAGTAAAACAAGCAGAGGTGGAGAGAAGAGAGAGTAAGTCTACATTGTGGCACCAGGCAGAGTCACAGATGTCAACCATTTCTAGTTAAGTTACAGCAACCTCAACATGGGGTTCTTCATGTAAGGAAAGTCCCATTACTAGTAAAGGTGGTGCCTACAGAACAAACAGTAATATAAAGATAAGGGACTAGAACTTATGCATATATATTGCTGATCTGCATTAGTAGCCAATGGTCTTGCACCCTGATTTTCAGCATAAAAATGGTGAAGAAGTGTGTTATTATTTTGAATAAAGCTTAGAATTAAATGATGGTTTATGAGATCTGTTTTGGCACATTTTGTTACTCTGATGTGATTTGACATTCCTGTTAGAGAACAGCACCCCTAGTGAGCTGGTTTGTGATCTCAGAATTTTGAAAGAGTTAAGCTCACATAATTATTTTTTTCAAGCAAGCTAAGGTAAAAAATAACTGGGTAGGTATCTGCAGCTGAAAACAGTCACTTTTTATTTCAATAAAACTTTTTACTGTGTGCTTAGTTAACTTAAGCATTTGCAATTCTTTCACGGTCCTCTGAGAGTCTGATTGATTGTGACGTGGCTCCTGGATCAATAGTGCTGTAGCATACAAAACAGTTGCCAATGTCAGTTGTATAATTGCTTTATAGAAAGCAATATGTCACTTTTCCCTGTCATGTGGATATGCTAATTCAGCGGTTTTTCTGGATGCAAAGCATTTCCTCCAAGAGTGATATCTGTGTATGTGTAAAGTGCTTTCATGTGCATATTTTTTGTGAATACCTGAGTACTTACTGGATGAAGTCCATTCAATACTAAAATGGAAAGTACAAGCAGTGTATTTTGGTTTAGTCTCTAGCTGACATTAGAAGTTCTCCAGATTCAGGACACAAGATTGCATCTTTGCTTTCACTTCAGCTGCAGAATATTTATTTCAGCTACTCATAATCATATTACTAACCATTACTTTAAGAAGCAGTTTTGCAGAGCCACTGCTTGTGGTTTCCTGTTTCACGTAAGAGCAGGTTTTGTCTTACTACCTCGTGATACACTATGCTTTTAAAAATTTCAGTAAATAATAGTATTTTGCTCCCAGAACAAAGCAAGAAAAGGTTGAAGTTTTCCTTATCACCTGAGGGAATCCATTTGTCCTTTAGAAGTTTTATGAGGCGTTGTAAGAATAGAGCAGAGAAGAAGTCTGCAGTCATCTTTTTCACAGAGTTACTTATATATCACGCTCTAGTTCTATTTTTTTCAAGGCTTTATCTTTCATATTCATCTAAACTGTCTCATAATCAAACTGAGAAGGAGCAAATTTATGCAAATACTACTGAGATTTGATCTGTATTGCATAGGGTGGAATGTAGCTCCCTGCTAATTCTAGAGAAAACATAATGCTTTATTAAAGCTCAACATCACAGGCAATTTAAAAAAATGTTTACTGTGGACCAGCTTTTCAATGGGACTTCACTATATACAACAGAAGGTAAAGCTGAACAGGGCAGATGCACTGAAACAGCAACTGTGCTATCAATTCTGTTTCAGCTTTTTAATTGAAATAAAATACAAGGTTGTTATGTTACTGGTATTTTCAAAGTATTTCTCTTTTAGACCCCTGTGTATTCTGAAATGAGAATCCGAAGCTCATTTTAAAATAAAAATATATATATCTATGACAGTTTATTTTTTGGTACATATTCTTTTGCTGTTGTAAAGCAAAAAATTAAAAGTACTAGTTTCAAATGCTGATGGACTAAAACTTCTCTTTTGCAATGACATCTATGTATTATAATTATGTGCATTCAAGACAAAAATCTTTATTTGGTTCGTTCAGCAGCATTACAGAACCAAGTTATCACCTTTTTTTCTTGCAGGACATAATGTCAGATAAAAGGTTCTGGTTGTCTAATGGCTAACAAGTGTTGAAATTCTGTACTAAGACATCCTACAGAGCACTGAAACATTAAATTTCTTTATGAAAGTATTACTGTTAGCATAAATCAAATTCTGTTTAGAGACACAGTAATAAAGGCATTTTTAGAGTGCCCACTTACAGCAATAAAATTAGCATATTAAAATATATTTGGTTACAACAACAGTAAATTTAAATTTTGCCCGTTGCAGTAGAAGCAACAGCAGCAGCAGATCCTTTCAACAAGAGGAGAAGCAAATACTCTCAGCTGATGTTCAAATAGTGAATAAAAGATCAAGCTGATTCTCAGGAATATACCAAACAGTTTGAGCACCTGCATAAACGTGTGTAAGGCTCAGTTCAATTATAATTTATTTTAAAATCAGAGGGGAGGTTTTGTGTTTGTATTGCGAGTTGTATTTATTAGCCTTGCAAAATAACTTGAAAATTAGATTACTCAGAAAAACTCTATTCCAATAACTGCTTCAAAAAGATCTCATACAATAACTGCTTCGAGAAGGTGCCATACGAAATGAACACATGTAAAACCAATAATTTATTGAGTTTTAATTTAATAAGACTTACAGGAGCATCTGTATCCTGTAATATCTGTATCATTACTTTCTATTGTTTAAACAGTAGAAAAGCAGAGTGCTTAAAACCAGAATATTTGGTAATATCAGCTTGGTAATAAACAAAACTTGGTTCAGTGTGTTTATTTCTTTAAATGCCCTGACCCCTCAAGGAGTACAGCAGCCTTTCACAAGTCCAGGTCAATGTAAGAAAAGCTAAATTTAGGTCCTTGGAGTTTGATCATGAAATGATTGTTTAGAGCTAACTGTTAATGAATTCTTCCTTTTTTTTCTCTTAGTAAAAATTTCTCTTTCAGAACACTTTATTTTATGACCATATCTATCTTTCCAGCTCTCATAAGGGAAAAAATGAAATATCTTCCCTGCTTTTGTTGATTATAGATTTAAGAATATTGCTGCTGCCAAGGCTAGTTGTGGAATACAAAGAAAATAACTTAATTATTAAGTTCAGGAGTTTTCTAAACAAACACTACAACAGAACATGAGCATATGAAAGTATGTATTAAAGCCAAAAGCGCTTCAACTTGCTGCATCCCACAACCAATCAACCCAATTGAAAAAAATGTCAGATGCCTATGCCTATGCCTGCTCTTAAAGATTTAGTTTTAAAACACTCAGGACTTACCAGAGGCACAAGAAAGTCAATAATATTAATAGTAACTGTATTATTATTATTAATAATAATAATAATAATAAACTTAGTTTCCTTGACATTAGGTAGACTGAGCACAGTTTTGCCTGTGTGCTGTGCAACTCCTATATAGTTCTCACTACAGATCAAAACTGAATGTTAAAGTGTCCAGTGCTAAATTCTGTCGTTTTCTACATGGGTACAGAAGTAGAAAAGCACAGGAGTGCTTTCCATGTAGCATCTATCCAGGACAGGCGACTGCAGTCTCTATAATAAAAAGTCAAAAGAATTTCAAATTTAAATATACTCCTCCAAAGGGCAGGGAGTAACCACAGTTCCCTCTAATAGTCTAGCTTTAAAATGTTATAGCTTCCTGTAGCTCAGGCAGTTGCTGAGAGGTGGTGTAGCAGTTGTTCCCCTGAGTTAGATGACAATGTCTGTCATTTAGCAGCTAAATGAAAGATGAGGGATTTCAACTCTTACTGCTCTATGCCCTGGCCCTCATGAGTCTCACAACAGTTCTGTCTGCCTGTGAAAAGAGATATGCAGGCAGATAATGAGAAGGATAAGTGTTCATTTCCCACCTTAAGGTCTAGAGTTTTTAGCTTTCATGATATGAATCTACATGGATGGGTTAAGATAAGTTTAAGGTAAATTCAGTTCCTAATAGCTAATACTTCAGTGTTCCCAAAGCTTGATTAAAGAGCTAAGTATTTCTTCCCTACAGTTCATTGCAGTGCCTGAGCACTCAGCAGAAACAATTTCTCACTCATTTGTAGAAGGAGATGTTATTGACATTACTTTTATTTAACCTTCAGTAGTACTGTGATTGTGCTTTTCAGTTGCAAAGATAGACTGAAAGAGAGAAGGAACAGAACACTAGAAATTTTAAGTAGACCTCTAATTTGGCAAATCCATGACCAGGATGTATTTTAAGATGTATGGTTTTAAGTATTTAGGACTGCAAATGTGGCCCTATGATTTATGGCTCTAAGAAGGCATATATCTGAAATTAGGGAAAATAATATCCTGGGGAAAAAAGTGAAATACTTTGTGACAGGACCTAAATTCAGCCAAAGCCTTGAGAGGAATCTATCTGCTATTTTTCTTAAGAAGAACATGTGTCAAAAGGAACATGATAGAAAAAGCTGCTAAGCACAGTAAGTTTCTGATCAATTCGCAGATAAAATAAAATGCTTTGGGAACACATATATCCCTCATAGCCAGTGAGACCTTGCAGGTTGCTCCAAAGTTAATCTCAGTCCAGCAACTTCCAGTGGCATTTGGGGTTGCAGGAAATAACATTGCCCCAGGGTCCACATGAAACATCTGTCTTCATCAGCTTTGAGTGTGCTCCCAGTTGCAGTTTCTTTTCCATATCCCCTTCTTGTTTCTTCCTATACCACAGCCTAAATGTTCACACATACACACTCTAGCATACATTTTCCCATGGCTGATTCATCCAGGGAATTGTGATGTATATAAACCCAATAATAGTGATTGCTTCTTCTGGAGAGAAGATTCCTAATGATGGCTCCTGATTGGTTAGCCAAATAAAGACATGCTCAGGCAACCCATTATATTTAAATTTCCTTTAATTCAGTAATTTCATAGCTCAGTAATGATCCCACTGAGTTAAATTAAGCCAACAGTTCTGTTTTATTTAATCCTCACAAGCTTTTACTTGTGTGTGCCAATGAGATGTTTTTTTCAGAAAGCTTAGTGAATATTGCACAGTGATTATGTATATACAGGGTATGATAGAGCAAAATTCTATTTTATTTATGTATAATAATTACTTTTAGCTTAGCTGATGCTGGTAGCCTCTGACAAAGAATAGATGGTAGAGACTTTCAGATTTAGAGATTTCACTTGGGGTTATATAGAATACTGAAGCCTGGAGTCTGGAATAGGAGTCTAAAGTAAAACTTAAATGATAGTCAGATCTATTTTAGAAATATACTTCATTGTCTCTAATCTGGGTACCCACAG